CATGGTTTCAAGATGGGTTTTAGTGCCAGCTGAAATGTAGCCCACTATAACGAGGGCNCTGTGATGGCCCCACTTGATACGGCATGTATTTTCTGATCATTTTTTGGAAATTGTTTTGGAACTTCCTCATATGACAAGTCATGTTTTCTGAATGACCATTTAGCATTCCTAACTACATACTGTACAAAGATAGATGGTGATCTTTGATAATTATTTCTGGCAATAACAAATATAATTGTTGATAGGTGTTCCTACTAATTTGTTGAGATGAACGATAAAATTCGGCCCCGATGGACCGACATTGTTTATATTAGTTCAATGCGTGGGTCATAGTACGGGAACTCCTACGAGGACAGAACCGAGAACAAAATCTAAGGGTATATCATCGTAAAGAGAGTTTTCAGCGAAAATATGTATAATGGTTGCACGGACCGGATCCAGAAAACAAGAAATTTCAGTTTATATTGGTGCCGAAGTGGGAATGAGGCCACAGAAGCCCATTGACACCCTGATGCTCTCCCAGGACATTCCAGTGCAACCTTCTGGTTCTGGTCGCCTCAAAAGTCCCGAAAGCAGCAGCTTGAACAATCAAGTGTCATCACCCATTATATGCACGTACGCAATGGGCGACTAAACGAAAATGAGCGTGGCGGATCGACAACGGAGAATCCCCTACACACCCACCCAAAGACGACGAACATTTTGGTGATTCTCACACTGCGTCCCTTACAGCGCCGCCCTCTTCTCTCTGCCCGCCCTTCACGTACTATAAAAGAGCCGAAAGACTCCAAGTATCTATCGAGCCGTAGTACTTCACTACAGGGATATGCTTCTATTTATACTATTCATTACGACTGTAGTGGCATTGCCGAAAAGCAGAGAACGCCCAGATGGTGAGTTCCACCTGAACGAATGTCATTTTTTTCTTCATACCGATGTCATAATTCATTATCTTGCAGCCACACCAACTGCTGAAACCAAGTCAATCGAAGCAATCCCAGATGGCTCATTCTTATCATTCAACAGAAATCCTACTATCATTTCCCCTATCGAGTTGGATAGTATTGCTGCTTCTATGCCGAAGAAAAACGAGAAATTACCTCTACAAAAACCTTATCAGCCTCTTGGTGGCGACGACAGACCGATTCCTGATGTCTTGCCAAGAAATGGAGAGTTCGAGTTCCTCGAATCCCCGCCTGGGGTTGCTCCAAAGATGACCGGCTCCGTTGCCGCATCGTATCCAAATTTTGAGTTCTTCGATTTTGGTGAGAATAGCCGACCAAGCGCTGCAGCTGTCAATCCGGCAGCCACCTATCTTGAAGGAGGAAACTTCGATAAGGTGAGCCGTCCATTTTTCTGGTCGATTGCAGCTTTCTTACTCGTAGCTCCACAAAAGTTTAATTCTCAGTCGATGATTATGTCTCCAGTTTGCAGATCGCCGCTCCACCTTGCCAAATGAGAGGATGTACAGGACCCGTGCCGAACGACGGCAGCTTTGGGGTCGAACCTTCTTCTGAAAATGGGAAAGCATGTCATCAGATTTTTGTTCCGTTGAATGGCTGTACCAGCAACAGAGGCTATCCCATGGGTATGCTCTGCACAATCTGTTGTGATTGTACAGCTTCATTTGTGGCAGAAATGACGAAAACCCATGGTTTCAAGATGGGTTTTAGTGCCAGCTGAAATGTGGCCCACCATTTAGGGCCACTTCATTTTTATCTCATCCTGGCGGGTCTTCATGTATATACTGTCATGTATAATGGGCCGTATAGCTTCTGTAAATAGGTGTCAATAGAATTCTTCTACTTCTCTCAGGATTGATCTGCTTCGTCAATGTACATACAGTATATATGATACATATTATATATAGAGCATATTGGTCAGCGCACTTTGTTTCTTGTTTCTTGTGCCAAGGAAATTCTTCATCAACCTCTTTGATTTGTTATAAATGATTGAAGGCAATAGCCAGCGTTCGAGAAGTTCTATTCCAAATCTTTTCCAAAAAATGTCTTCAACACAACCGACAGAACGTCGTGAAGAAAAACTAGAAACATCCAACATATCCAGAGGGGCCCATTTTGATCAGGCTTAGCAAACCTTTGGCGTATTGTGTTGGTCGGAGAAGGAAAAAGTGAATAAAGTGTAGCTTCCTGTGAGACAACTATGCGGCTCTCACTCGTCTTCCACTCACACTCTCACTGGCTAAACCACTCTTCTTCTCCTAAGAAGCCTTCGTGACCCCTTAAACCTGACACGGATCCATGAGGCCAAACACATTACAGGCTATGTACCATCATTTAAAGCCATCAAGGAATTAGACACACGTCCTTGGCCAATGAAACCCCCATTTTGTGCTTAGCGTTAACGTTGGGAGCATATTTTGTAAAAATCATTTCAACGAAATTTCCAAATGTTCTTCAGAACCGGACTTGTTCATGGTGGATCACACGTAAACTTGGAAATGAGACCAGTTCTGCTTGGGTCATCGTAGGTCTTGCTGGAGGAATTAAAGAACAAAGGAATGGTTAAAAACATCGGTAAAGCCATGCAGCGCGAAAAAACTGTTTTCTCATTTTCAGTCACAAAAAGGGTCGAGTCAGAAAATCTAGCCATTTACTTTTTGGCATTTTTAGGCCCTAGCCACATAATGTAAGTTAGAGTGACCGCCACTAATTGAGGCAAGAGAGTAGGTTAAGTCGAAAAAAAAAATTGACTGACCGAGCCATTAATGACCTCTACCAGTCCAATATGACCATTTGCCCTGTTCAACACTCACGTGTGAGTTGTGGGAGATGTGTACGTTCTGGTAGTTTCTAGCCACCACAATCCTCGTTTTTGTATTCAGTTTATTTCTGCTGCTTTAATTCGCTTCCCATACAGTACTAGTTCTTCCTGTCAATTATCTTCTGGACAAATCTGGTCTTGAGTTGTAAAAAGAGATAACAAAAAAGGCAACGAATAGTGTCAACAAATTGCAATGCGGAAGTTCCCCCCACTCGATGTCAAATTCTGAAATGTAAATGAATTTTTCATTAAGCAAAAGAAAAAACCTTTGATGGAATACTTCAAGNTTTTTGTATTCAGTTTATTTCTGCTGCTTTAATTCGCTTCCCATACAGTACTAGTTCTTCCTGTCAATTATCTTCTGGACAAATCTGGTTTTGAGTTGTAAAAAGAGATAACAAAAAAGACAACGAGTAGTGTCAACAAGATGCAATGCGGAAGTTCCCCCCACTCGATGTCAAATTCTGAAATGTAAATGAATTTTTCATTAAGCAAAAGAAAAAACCTTTGATGGAATACTTCAAGGGTCGGGTAGAAAAGAGTGCTCGATTAGTCAAGACTGGACGATATTCTGAACACGAGGGAACTAAGGGTGTGGTGCAGTAGGAACGAAATTGTCGCGTCGCGGCGAGAGAGACGCCGCGCGCGAAGGAATATAGCATAATGCAGCAGCAAATAAGAAATTCAGGAACAAAAGAACTAACAGTAGAATCTGCCAAAAGTAATAATCCCATACCGATTGAGCTGTATGAAGAACACTAGAACTGTTATAATGAGGCAAATGGTCCGCGACAGCCGCGTGCGGCGGATCGATTACATAAAACCGTTCCTACTGCCCGTCTCCTGGGAAAGAAAGCTCTAGTTTTGGAACAGATTCATCGCGGTCGACAACCTGTGAGGGTGAATCGCTCAACTACAGACCTGAGAACTAGAAAAACTTCACTCCAGCGCCCAGGAAAGATGGCTCCATCCACTTCAGCCACTTATTGCGGTAAGTCTCTGTCTACAATGATTCTCGTTTACTCAGTAGTTAAAGGAAGCGAGAGAAACCTTGTTTACCCAACAGTTAGAGGACATTGATGAGGCCACGGTATCGAAAAACTAATTGGTCCCTAACCGCTATTAAAAAGGATGTAAAAGAGCTGTATAATCTTGTTTCGATCGTTTTAGGGTACGGTCTTTACCCTCAGAAGAGTTAAACCGGTACTCTGCCTACTTTCGTCTATTAGGAAATTTTTGATCGTGACCTGCACGTGGTAAACGAACAATAAGATTGATGGCAAAACAAGAAGATTGCCATTCGAATTAAATGAGTAAACAGATGGTGTCGTTAGAATTGTGAATTAGGGATAAACATAGGTATAAGGAAAAAACAAAACATGGCAAAGATTCAATGAACGATGGGAGGGAGATGACAAGCATTCAACTCTACTTTCAGGGAAAATGCAAAACCCCTGGCTATACGTTAATTTTTCAGATATTAAACTTCTTTTATTTAANACTTTTATATCAGAATAGAAAATTGCAGAAAAGCGCTCAGACAGAGTCAGGCAGAATTGGACAAAAACGTTCGAGCTAAATTTCCCCTCTGTTCAAAAAAGTCAGGTATTCATTTTCCATGAACTTCCACATATCCATAAACAGGCATTGGATCGGTAAGGGCCAGATACTCTACTTCTTCACAGACTTTTCACTATCTCTTACATCTGTTTTTACCTGAAATGATGAAAATAGGCTTGACCAGTCCGTAGGCCGATGCGTGACCCCCGTTACGCAGGTTGCCTTTTATATTTCGGGATTAGAGAAGAAAAATAAATAGTAGTCACTGGAAATTGCTTTATTGTTTTTCAAAATATTCCCCATTAAGATCTATACACTTTTGCATGCGTTTGAACAATTGTCGAATCACTTTTGCCACTCTGATTGAGGGATCTCCAGAACATGCATTCTGAACGCATCAATCGCTTCTTCAAGTGTCCAAAAACGTTGACCTCTAATTTTTTTACGTACGGTAATAAAAACCAGAAGGACAAGTAGGGGTAAGTTCGTACTGACATCCCCAAATGCCTCAACCTATTTATGTGTGCGGATGTGCAGTTGTTCGTCTCATCGTCTCATAGATCTTCAGATAGTTACTTAATGAACATGGTAGTAATCAAAAGTCACTTTGTTACTTGCTATCCTGAGACTACGTCTTTTTATGGTCCCTGAACTGATGCCATTTTCAGACAACAAAGTCCTAGGCGGACAATGACTAAGCCACAATCATCTTGTCGTTTGTTCAATGTGTTCGACGAAAATATGTTCGGAATGTCGTGTTGGGACATCTGTGCGTTCGTCGTAAACTGTAAATCGGTGTCGCCGTGTTACGAGTCTTGAAAACACGCCTGACAGCCCTTTTCGGTCGGAGGCACTAAATCAGGGACGATGTCACAAACAATACTGAACTTAGAGCTCATCATGAAGAACCATCGAAAGGCTTATTCTGCATGCCTTCAATGAAAGAATCCATCACCCCTGACCTCTTAACAGGTACCCATCAGCATTTTGATTTCCTGGGATTCGTCTGAAGAATCAGTAGCTCAAAAAGCGAGTATGGCAGAATAATAGGTAGTTGCCCTTTAACAAATTTTTTAAAAACAAGGGCTGATAGTTGGTACTAAGGTAATACTAGACACCAGTTGGTACCGAGTCATGGTAACCGAACACGTCTACCGAGCATTAGTTGTGGTAAGTATTCACAGTACCCCAATGCTTCACATATTGAATTTCGCTTGATTAGATCCAGTAGGAAAGGAGTTATGACTGAAGAGTACGACTGAAGAAGCATTTCGCCGAATACTTTTGAGCGCTACTGTTTAATGCTCGGTAGACGTGTACGGTTACCATGACTCGGTACCAACTGGTGTCTAGTATTAC